CCATATATGCTGTTACCAATGCTTAGAACATAGTGACTAAAGACACTTACTCCTGTTTATTCTGGTACAACCTTGGACCTAAGACTACATTCACTAATGTTGATGAACAAGGTCATGGATTTGAAGTATTCCATATGTCAAGTGTCCAAAAAAATGATGTCTGACCTTATTACATGTGCAAAAAGTATAGCTTCAGAGTTCAGTAAGCTGGAAGCAGCGAATGCGTCAGTTCATAAAATCAAAGAGAGGCTTCTAAGACAAAAACCATTGTTAGTGAAGCAGATGACTTTGAAGAAAACATTTTAAAAAGTCATCCAGCAGAATGTCTGTTCATCTCTAAAGGACCCATCCACTTCCTGGTTTCTTGACTGCTTCTGATATTTCTTCTCATCTAAGAAAGTAAAACACAGTGTACAATGCGTTTTAATGAAACAAAGCATCCTAGGTGGAGACTGAGAGCCTGCTGCTGTTTATTGTTGCTGTTGTTTAACAGCTGATGCAGGTGTCTGGTGCTACTGCTGTGCTGCTCAAATACCCTGAATACATTATTATTTTACTGTGTTTATGACATGTCCATTTTTTTTTTACTGTTAAATACCTATCTGTGAATAAGTGTGAGAAAATCATTGCTTGCTGGTAGCTTATAAATTCAGAGTCAGGAATAATGGTGATGCCAAACAACCACAGATTGTCTACATATGTGACAGAGATAGGGACCTCTTTACTTTGATAGTTCAATGTACACAAACTTTGTTTCATGCACACAATTATTTAAAATATTGCATGAAATTACCTTCAGGCTATGCATATAAGGTGTATATAAAATATGAATAAATTTTGTGTTTAGACATAGGATCCCATCCCCAAGATATCTCATTCTGCCTATATGTGTATGCAGATATTCCAAAATCTGAAAAATTCTAAAATCTGATATACTTTTGTTCTTAAGCGTTTTGGAAAAGAGATGCTCAATTTTATTTATGAGCTGAGACAAATAGATTTAAAATGGTTTACTAAAAGTTTCACAGTGAATTAATAAGAGAGATAGGATGGCTGGAATTAGCTCTTTTTTAGAGTCCCAGAAAAATCTGAGAAGATAAGATTATTTTGTTTAAAAGTATGAGAACATTTACATGAGAAGCAGATTACATGATCATACCAGAAATCGCTACTAAGATACCATAATTAATGTAACAGAAGGGAAATGGATGATTTATACCCATTAACTTATTTATAGATAAGTGCAGGTGTTTTAAAGAACAAATTATTTATACAACATAGTTCACTTGTGATATACTGCAAATAACTAAGTTTCTTTCCTCAGAGAAGAATAGAAAGGAACATTTTCAGTGGAAATAGGTCTCAAGTAGTAGGAAGGAAGAAAATGATTCTTCAGCATATACTTCATATTTAAAGGGATAGTTGAAAATTTCCAAACAAAAATTTAATTGACCATATTTTTCCACATATAGATACAAATCTAATGATCTAATAAATTTAGAAACTATGTGAATATACATATGTATAGGAACTTGTCTGCAACTTATTTAAATAAAGGAAGTACTTTTTTGTAAATGACAATCTTTTGGTGTATGTAGAATTTATTATATTATCTTTTCTTCCCCAAGATGTTACACAAGTATCACCAGTTCCTGGGCACTGAGAAATGTTTGAGGTCGGAGTTAGCACGAAAGCTGCATATTTGTGTTTTGGGTAAGGTTGCTTAAATGCCATGTTTATTTTCTGACCTTCAGCCTCTTGTCCACTATCATACCAAAGCACTTGAGACTCTTTAATAAGGAAAAAAAACATCTCATTCTTTGAATAGAGATAGTTTAAATGTTAACATCTCAAGGAAAAAAAACACAAATAGTGAATTAGATTTATTCTGGACTGTAACATCTGGTATTAGAATTTCCTAATAACAAGTGTTTCCTATGCCCAGCCCATGGAATATTTTGGAAGTCAAGGCCCTAAGATTCACATATAGTTTGGTTTAACTCATAAAGCACACATTCGATTATTCTCTCTTTTTTATTAATCTGGCTAGTGGTTTGTCTATTTTGTTGATCTTTTCGAAAACCAGCTCCTGTATTTACTGTTTTTTTGAAGGATTTTTTGTGTCTCTATCTCCTTCAGTTCTGTTCTGATCTTAGTTATTTCTTGTCTTCCGCTAGGTTTTGAATTTTTTTGGTCTTTCTCCTCTAGCTCTTTCAATTTTTATGATAGGGTGTTGATTTTAGATCTTTCCTTGCTTCTCATGTGGTCATTTATTGCTATATATTTTCCTCTAGACACTGCTTTAAATGTGTCCCAGAGATTCTGGTATGTTATGTCTTCATTCTTGTTGGTTTTGAAGAACATCTTTATTACTGCCTTCATTTACTTGTTTATCCAGTCAACATCCAAGATCTAGTTGTTCAGTTTCCATGAATGTGTGCGGTTCTGAGTTAGTTTCTCAATTCTGAGTTCTAACTTGATTGCACTGTGGTCTGAGAGACTGCTATGATTTCCACTCTTTTGCATTTTCTGAGGAGTGATTTACTTACAATTATGTGGTCAGATTTAGAGTAGGTGTGATGTGGTGCTGAGAAGAATGTATATTCTGTGGATTTTGGGTGGAGAGTTCTGTAAATGTCTATTAGGTTTGCTTGGTCTAGTTCTGAGTTCAAGTCCTGGATATCCTTGTCCCATTGATCTGTATAATATTGACAGTGGAGTGTTAAAGTCTCCCACTAATATTGTGTGGGAGTCTAAGTCTCTTTGTAAGTTACTAAGAACTTGCTTTATGCACCTGGGTGCTACTGTAGTGGGTGAGTATATATTTAGGATCATTAGCTCTTCTTGTTGCATTGATCCTTTTACCATTATGTAATATCCTTCTTTGTCTCTTTTGATCTTTGTTGGTTTAAAGTCTATTTTATCAGAGAATAGGATTGCAACTCCTCCTTTTTTTTTTCTCTCTCTCTCTCCATTTGCTTGGTAAATCTTCTTCCAACCCTTTATTTTGAGCCTATGTGTGTCCTTGCATGTGAGATGGGTTTCCTGAATACAGCACACTGATAGGTTTTGGCTTTTTAATCCAATTTGCCAGTCTATGTCTTTTGATTGGGGCATTTAGCCCATTAAACTTAGGGTTAATATTGTTATGTGTGAATTTGATCCTGCCATTTTGATGCTAGCTGGCTGTTTTGCCAGATATAAGTGATGGGGAGGAAGGCAGCAAACCACATTGCCATGTATGTACCTATGCAACAATTTTGCATGTTCTTCACATGTACCCTATATATATATATATATATATATATATATATATATATATATGGAGAGAGAGAGAGAGAGAGAGAGAGCACATTCATAGATGTGATAAAAATTTGGAGATCAATGCAATTTAGAGAGTAATATCTTGCAGCACAAAACCATCCCAAAGTTCAATTAGGGTAAAATGTGCTAGAAGATAGGATTTCAACCTGAAGTCTAGATGAGAATTCCTACTCCTTTCCCACTGTTCAAGACATGTGAGCTTATGGTGCTACCCTAATTTGATTTACATGTCATAGGGTCCATGAAGAACCTAGAATTAAGAGACGGAGAGAACAGTCTCCTTCTCCCCACAACCACCATGTTGGAAGGCTTGGCTTAGATGGACTTAATGGCTGGAAACTGGAATCAGAGAAGCATTTATGTCCTTCTTACTGATTAATTAGTTAGGAATTAACATAGCCAGCATGGAACCTATTTCTTAATTTTGAGATAAAATAACCACAGTGCTAATATAAACTAGATTTTATAGAGGTGAGACTCTAATATGCATGCAAAGGAGAAATGAGATGATGAGCAGAGTTAATGTCACTCCAATGTGTTCCTCTCATAGATAAGAAAACAGAGCTCATTCTTAAGAGACCAGGTGAAGATGAAGACATTAACATTCTTCTTTACCCAAAAGTGATGAAAAATATTGTTATGAATAAGATTAGGAAAAAATTGCTTGAAGTTAAATTTTCTTTCCCGTAGGCCTTTTCATAGACTATCATATGCTAAACTACTGTATGAATCTTCATGAGGAGGGTTATATTGAGGATCGTGTTCAAACATATTTGGCCATGAAATTCTTTATTAATATCTCTCAGGATCAGTGAACCAAGAGATTCAGTTCAGGAAACAGTGATTACAAATGAGAACTCACCTCAGTGATGAAAAGGACGTAGAATGTGTGAGCTATCAATTCTTCTTACTATAAAAGTTTTGCCTTCCTCAAGAATCAAAGTTCTACCAGGAGACTATTGCAATTTCAATGCAAGAGATGAGGGTAGCATGGTTTTATCAAGGCCATTGAATTGGGAAACTCTAGGGCAATAATTCTCATTGTATTCCAAGTGAATGTTGTACCCTGCAGTTTTGAAACATGGAGGATCCGAGGGCAATAGTAGTAAAGGTAGTAAAGGTGGTAGGAAGTTGTTGGGTTGAAAACTAAGTTAATAGAATTTGTTTTAACTTGGATTTTGAATGTGAGCCAAAGAGGAATAAAGGATAATTTACATGTTTTGGCAGAAGCATAAGGTGAATGGTCATCCATGAGAGAAGCAAGTTTTGGCTAGGAGAAAAGCAGAATTCCATTTTGGACTTTATAAATGTTAGATTCCCATCTAAGTATCAAGTGTCCAGTTTGGCATGTCTCTGATCTGAGGGCATACAGAAGGTTTGGAGTGATAAATTTGTGAATTATCAGATAGAAGATAGTATTTAAAGTTGTGGAAATAAATGTTATCATCTAGGGGATAGAGTATTTAAACGAAGGCGAGTCAAGAACTGAGGCCAGGACATTTAAACACATAAACGTTAGGACATGAGAAGAATTGAGAAATACACATGCGACACGGTGTTTGAGCTGAGCCGAGGTGGTCGCTTTTAGCGCAGCCTTCCCACAGCTGCGGATCCCCGCTTAAGCCTCGTGTGGAAGCCCGGCCCGCTTCACAGCTTTCTTCCTTTGTCTTATAACCATGTCCACCAACGAGAATGCACATACACCAGCTGCCCGTCTTAACAGATTCAAGAACAAGGGAAAAGACAGTACAGAAATGAGGCACTGCAGAATAGAAGTCAATGTGGAGCTGAGGAAAGCTAAGAAGGATGATCAGATGCTGAAGAGGAGAAATGTAAGCTCATTTCCTGATGATGTTACTTCTCCGCTGCAGGAAAACCGCAACAACCAGGGTACCTTACTGATGGTCCAAATGAACGAATTGACATGGTCGTGAAAACAGGAGTTGTGCCCCAACTTGTCAAGCTTCTAGGAGCTTCTGAATTGCCAATTGTGACTCATGCACTACGAGCCATAGGGAATATTGTCACTGGTACAGATGAACAGATTCAGGTTGTGATCGATGCAGGAGTGCTTGCTGTCTTTCTCAGCCTGCTCACCAACCCCAAAACTAACATTCAGAAGGAAGCTACATGGACAATGTCAAACATCACAGCTGGCCGTCAGGACCAGATACAGCAAGTTGTGAATCATGGATTAGTCCCATTCCTTGCCAGTGTTCTTTCTAAGGCAGATTTTAAGACACAAGAGGAAGCTGTATGGGCTGTGACCAACTATACCAGTGGTGGAACAGTTGAACAGATTGTGTACCTTGTTCATTGTGGCGTAATAGAACCGTTGATGAACCTCTTAACTGCAAAAGATACCAAGATTATTCTGGTTATCCTGGATGCCATTTCAAATATCTTTCAGGCTGCTGAGAAACTAGGTGAAACTGAGAAACTGAGTATAATGATTGAAGAATGTGGAGGCTTAGACAAAATTGAAGCTCTGCAAAACCATGAAAATGAGTCTGTGTATAAAGCTTCATTAAACTTAATTGAAAAGTATTTCTCTGTAGAGGAAGAGGAAGATCAAAATGTTGTGCCAGAAACTACCTCTGAAGGCTATACCTTCCAAGTTCAGGATGGGACTCCTGGGACCTTTAACTTTTAGATCAGGTAGTTGAGGTATAAATATGTTGTGTACTATGTTTGGTATTTTGTCTTCCTGTTTCTCTATGAAGAACTCTTTCTAAATGTGGTTTGTTATTGTAGCACTTTTTACACTGAAACTATACTTGAACAGTTCCAACTGTACATACTGTATGAAGCTTGTCCTCTGGCTACATTTCTTATTTCTATGTGGAATTTCATATCTTGCAGCCTCCTGTAAATAAACATTAAACCACCCACTCCCCCCCCAAAAAAATACACATGCAATGGGTAAGGGGATAAATTTAAAAGGTATGGTATCCTAGAAACCAAGCAGAAAAAATATTTCAAGAATAAATAAGTAATCTAGCATGTCAATCAATGCCGAGAGTTAAATGGAAATTATCAATCACATTAACAATCAAACAGTGAGAAAGAAAGCACAGTTATCAACATAATTAGGGTGAAGAAATACAGATAGCAAGTAAAGAGAAATCTTTGGAAAAGCTTTGCCAGGAAGGGAGGCAAAAATTAAGGAAACAATGGTGAACCTAAGGATTTATTTATTTTTTTAAGCTGAAAAGTGTTAAAGCATGCTTATATTGGGAACGGTAAAAGGTAGGAAATAACATCACAGAATAAAGCAAAGCCCCTTTTTGAGTTTGGAGGGCATGATGTTCAGTCCACAAGTCAGAGATGCCAACTTAACTTGGAGAAGCAGTGATAGATAGTGCTTAAAAACAACAGACTCTAATATTAGCTTGCCTACATTACAGTCCCAGTTCCTTAAAATAAAAATAGAATACCCTTCACACCTATGCCTTAAATCCAAAGTACTAACAACACTGAATGCTGGTGACGATGTGGAGAAACAGGCACTCTATTCATTGGGAATGCAGAAATAGTCCAGCCACTTTGGAAGACGGTTTTGCAGCTTATTACAAAACCAACACAGCCTTGTCACATGAGCCAGCAATTGGACTCCTTGGTATTTACCCAAATAAATAAAAAACATATGTCCACACAAAAACCTGCACACAAATGTTTATGGCAGCTTTATTCATAATAGGTGAATGGAAAATAAACTGTGGTACATCTATATGATGGAATATTGTATCCTACCAATTATTTCTTTTTTTAGAGGTTTCGCCAGGAATTAGAATATGTAGAACATATATAACACTAAAACATAAGATTTATTTTTTTTTAAAGTTGCTTCTCATTCTTTCCAGATGCACTGCAGTGCATATAAATGAAAACTAAATCATAAGGTACTACTTTTTCTGTTGGAAGAAAGGGGCTGATGTTGAACCATTTTACATGGCTTATCCTCATTAGTATGTTAACGTCACTAAAATAATAATATCAATAAATCTGGAGACTTCTACATTTGGCCGTGATGGAGGAACAAAAACGGAATTTGCCCTCCTGAGTAAAACAACACGTAAATGAATACAACTAATAAAAACATGACTTTTACAGTGCTGGACATCAGAGAAAATACAGCCATCTCTGAGAGGCAGAAAAAAAAACAAGGCAAACTGAGCAATTAACTCAGGTTACTGTGTAATTTAGTTTTCAGCTGTAGTGCAAGGCAGATAAATTCAGACAAAGTGCTGTGGAATCCCTGAGTTGAGGAAACAGAGCAGAGTGTCTATAGAAATTAACGTAGCTGGAGTTTCCAAGCCAAATTAATAGAAGAAAACTAAGCTAATAGAGAACTGTAGAAATATGTGGAAAGGTCTCTATGTATTCAGCAGAGTATTAATCAAAAATTGTGTGCATGTGAGAAAACTTCCCAAGGCTGGGGAGTCATAAGCCAGAATTATAGAGCAGGAACAGTGTCTGCAGAACTAACTGAACTGGAAACCCTCAAATTCATGGAAAACTGGGAAGAGTATTCAAATAGGCCTTGTCTCTGTAGAGGTCTGGACTAATCACAGCTCTGGTTCCACCTAAAAACTGAAAATATAAAACGATCAAACTGTTTTTAAGTAACATAACTACATCCCCCAGTAAAGCACAAATATATGTATAGGATGATAAAAACAAAAACTTCTCTAAAGAGAAAACCACAATGTTTGGCAGCCAATTAGGGTGCCAACTCAGGCCTGTAAAAAAGTAGGAAAAAGTGAAATATGGTAAGAAGAATCAATCAAAAATGATGCAGAAATGGCATAGATGTAATAATGAGCACAAGGATATTAAAAATAGTTATGTTACTTGCATTCCATGTTTAAAAAGAAAGGTAAGTAGAGATAAATGGAACATATTATAAAAGCTACATAATCTGAGATGAAAATTTTTATGGATAGGATTAAGAACAGATTACTTTTCAGAGGAAAAGATTAGTAAACTAGAAGACATAGCAGTAAAAAAATATCAAGAAAAAAACTTACAGAATAAGAACTTTTGAAGATACACACGGCACTGGGCACATTGGCTCATGCCTATACTCCCAGCATTTTGGGAGGCTGAGGTGGGCAGATCACTTGAGGTCAGGAGTTCAAGGCCAGCCTGGCCAACGTGGCAAAACCCCATCTCTACTAAAAATACCAAAAAAAAAAAAAAAAATTAGCCAGGGGTGGTGGTGGGTGCCTGCAATCCCAGCAACTTGGGAGGCTGAGTGAGGAGAGTCGCTTGAACCTGGGAAGCAGAGGTTGCAGTGAGCCAAGATTGTGCCACTAAATTCCAGCCTGGGCGACAGAGTGAGACGTCATCTCCAAAGGAAAAAGGAAAATGCACATAGCTCAGTAACCTGTGACAGTGGCACAGTTTCAAGTAGTCTACAATATATGTGATTGGCATGCTTGAGAAAGAGAAAGGAGGGGGGAGGAAATGTATTTGGAGAATTAAAGGTTGAAAATTTTTAAAATTCGAAACTATAAAGTCATATATCCGAGAATATCAATAAGCTTCAAGTAAAAGAAAAACAACAACAAAATTAATCAAAGATCATAATTAAATTGTTCAAAACAGTGATAAGGAAAAAAAATTTAAAGTAGAGGTAAAAAAGAGATGTCAAATTCAGAGAATCAAAGATAAGATTGACAACATATTTTGTATAGGAATCATTGCAACCAAGACGTTAATAGAACAATATCTTTAAAGTAGCAAAAGAAAACCTGTCAGCCTAGAATTCTGTATACCTAGCAACAATATCTTTAAAAACCTAAGATAAAATACAGACTTTTCAGATATGCAAAAGATGAAAGAATTAATGACCAGCATACCCACATTTTAAGAAATTTTGAAAGTCAAGCAAAAAGAAAATGACACTGAGTGAAAATATGGATTTTCTTCCACTCACAGGAATGAAGAAGAGCAGAGATGATAATTACATGGATCAATATGTACTTTTTTATTATTTAGATCTTTAAAAGATACTAAATATCTAAACAAAAATAATAACAATGTATTTTAGATTTTCTAAAATACATGAAGTCAAAAGTTATTTGTGACAAATAGCACAAAAGCTATAAGAGAAAATATGAGTGTAAGACTTTTAAGCTAAATATAATGTGAAATAATAGCTCCTGAAGGTAGACTACAATAAGTTATAGTAAACATATATATATATATATATATATACACACACATATACACACATATATATATATTTCTTTTTTTGAGACAGAGTTTTGCTCTGTAAATTCAAGAAGATAATAATCTAAGTGAGGGCAATAACTTTAAATTTGCTTCTGAAAATACTTAAAAAGCATGTACTTCAACAGGGCAGAAAGCTTCAGTATGTGGGATTGCTACAAAGAAATTGCATCATTATCATCAATCCAACAATTTTTACTACTCAGAATTAGAAGAGAAACAAGTCTATGTTGCTCTCTACTTTTGCAGAGCGGAAAGGAAATATATCATTGTTATAAAAACATTAAGAAATGTGCTCTCTGCTTGAAGATTCACGACCTTCGGAAAATTACTGGCTTATTTTCTGTAAAACCATAGGCCAACAATGTAGATTTGTTTTAATGGTGGCTTTAATGTTGCGCCAACAATGTCTTCATTTCTTGTTTCATATCTCACAACTTTATTAATTGCTGTTTGATATGTTTCTCTACATTCTCTCAGTCAAGATTCCAATTAGGAACTTTCTCCATGCTTCCTTTTTGTAAATCTTTATTCTTTCAGAATATCCATTTTCTTCTTTACTACACAGTTTTCACCCTTTCTTACACAGAACAATGTAAAAATTCCATGAGAGGCCAAATATATGTCCCAGTACTCCTGCGTCCAACATTCAAAAGCACCATGTTTCGTAGAAAGCAGTAATAGATTCTAAATAACATTTTTCCCCAGTACACATCTCCCCTGAGAAAAATTATAGACATCTGTAACATAAGAGTCTGCCTTCAACTATCATGAAGAAGTAGATAATAACATAGAGGCAAATATTATTTGAAGTGTGGCTAATATTTGCTTTTGTCCCAGGCTACATCTAACTCAAAGTACAGCTGACCTTCTTTTGTTGCTTGGGGGACCTTCTGTAAGCCTGCCACATGTTTGGATAAAAATTTTATCCTGGTTACCTCCCTCACCACATCAAGTTAGAGAAGAAGCACACCTGAAATAGAGTATTTCTAGGGTTCATGAGGATCTGGGGAAGGAAGAGTTGCTATTGCTTCAAAGGTTGCAGCATTCATGTTCAAAGTTCCTAAAATAGGAAGCCAGAATTCCAGGAAAGGTTCTTTTTGACAATTCTTCAAAATACTCTTCCCTCCCACTCCTTCTGGCTTAGGGTGTGGCAGGCTCACGTGTGTTCACACATGTCAACTACTCACTCTTCAAAAGACCACTGTAATAACCCATGGTTAGGCAAAGTTATGTTTACTAGCCTTCTGCAGTAGGGAGAGCATCACATATAGAGTCTAGTGTGTGTCTCAATAGGGAGATTAGAGATGTGTTAACAATAGGATTTGGAGATTAAAGATCAAGTAGTTTAAGAAGAACTTTCCATGCAAGGATGTGATTGAGACAGGGTAAATTCATCATGTAGTTGTTTAGCATTGGACATAATGAGGTGATCTTGAAGTATGTCTTGATAGGTAAACAGCTGCTTGATAGTAAGCTGTTAGCTCAGATGAGCAAACTATTATGAGAAAAGGACCATTTATAGTTCTGTAGTTCAAATAAGTCAGAGGATAATTTATATAGTTAAAATAAATTTACTTTCAAGAATTTTCTGAAGCACGCAGTAAAACTATTTATGTAACATTTCCTAGAATACATTGTAAAGTT